TGCCTGCATCTATAAGAAAGATATCTGACCATAAGATCGCGTCGGTCGCAGGATACGAACGCAAACTGTATGTTTACATTAGCCGTCATTGTCCCGAGACTCCTGCAGAGATAGTCGGTGACCACACAGTGTGAATCTCAAGCCATAAATAGTTGAACGTGCTCCGGTTATGTTTTTATCGGATTACTATAATACATGGGATCTACAATATATAAATAAATATGTTGGGACATTAACACAGCACCATCTAGTTCCATGGTAAGGTACGAGGCCTGTGTTATGGATACCAGATAGTTGATACACTACATATATGTATATAACTTTGAATACATACATATTATAAATATAAGCACCCATGACTGGAGTACAAACATTCGGGCTTTTCACACAAATGACTTGGCACAGCAAGTTGAGTCACAAACTGAGCAACAGGCAAGCAGGGCTACAAACTGAGCCACTTCTTCACGCTGGGACGGCTGTACCGATTTGGATAAAATTAAATACGCAGATAGATTTTGAGCTGGAGTAACACATAGGCCCATAGCACGCACCCGAGTGAATCGAGAAGAAGTTGCTAGTTTTAATGTATATATTATTTAGATACTTAAGTATTTAACAACGTTTAGCACAACGATAAGGTTTAGTTCACACTGCCTACACTACTACACAGACGTAGCCCAATAGAAGGGCTCGCTTGAAAAACTAAATAAAACGGGTTCATACCTAAGTTTTGCAACTTACTATGATGTGCTAATAAATCTCAATATGATTACCACTTGCCTTGCCTGAACTAATATATGTAGTTTTCGAAAGACATGAGAAGCCCATTCTTTCAACTTTCGAAGCGGCCTGTGCGCAGCAGTGAGACGTAAAAAGGACTAAATAGTAATGAGATTTCAATTAAAACGGTTCAATAATTTGCTAACGAAAAAGGTTTAAAATAAATTTAAAAGTATCACAGAGGTGATTTTTTTTTCTTAAAGCTTATGAGACCACCCTTAAAATACATTTAAAAAATCATAGGGACTTTACCCGCTTGCATGAAATATGCCTCTGATGCTTTTTAGGTTTATATATACCTTTATATATACCTATGATGTTTTTTAGGTTTCGTAATGTCGGCTATAATAATTAAAATGTTTCTAAGCCATTTTTGTTCTAGCCAATAATTACAGAGTTATAGAATATAGGATATTTTCGATACAAACGTAACTTTAATATTCCATGTTACGGACTGCGGCACTTTCGGTGCGCGTCAGATACACTTCGATTTCTTTTGTGCTCATTTTGATATTTTAAAAAAAAAGCCCCCCATAGGGTAAATAAAATAATGTTATTTGCTTTATTTTTTACCCTATTTTACCCTACCCTAAAGGGTAAATAAAATAATTAGACTACGGGTCTTAAATGCGTGAATTCGTTAGTGGCTATAAACCTTATTGCCGACGTTTCGACTGGGTTGCACCAGCCATGGTCAATAATATATAAGTATGGAACGCGAAACTTGAAAACGTTAATAAAAGTCACAAAGTACACAAAATACTTTATTACAGCACTATCGACTACGCACTCGACGACTACGCTTGCAAAACTGTCCGCCCACTGTAGAATATACTTTATAGTATATACTAATATTTTCAAACACTTCATCCTTCATCTATTTATGAAAAAATTAAATTTGCACTTTAAACAAATTACCTATATACTTCTAATAATTACTAGAGTTAAAAAAAAGAATACCCCATGAATATCTCTGTCGAAAATCGATAAATTCATAAATGTATAAAAATATAGCGATAATTAACAAAAATATGTTTTTTTTTTAATAATGAACCATCAATGATCAAAGATTTACATTTTTTTTTAACAAAAACTATTGTCCATCAAAAGTGTACTATTGTGTGATAAATTAGAAAAAAAATAATAAAAAAAGTAAAAATGTCTCAAAGATGAAGTTTTTGAGGGAATATTAATATTTTTTTAATTTTTAGCTATTAATGTAATGTACATAATATTATAATAAGTCTTAGCGAGAGACTACCGGCGTGGCGCCTACATACATACATATTATGTACAAATTAGATATATATAAATATTACATCAACATAAAAGCCACTGAGATTACGGAAAAAAATGTCGTATTTCTTATATGTCCACCTATAAAAAAGGTAAGTTACAATATGTACTCAGACTAAAGGAAAAAGATAGACTGAAAGTGTAAAGGTAGTGATGGACCCCTGAAATGATATTTAAAACTTCATAGAAAAATTACAAGAATGTAGAAAAAACCTAGGTATCTATATAAATAAATGAACTCAGGAAAGCGCGTCTTTTGAGAACGAGTGGACCTTCTAGTTTTTTTTAAACATTGATCAATAATGTTTTTAGAGAAAATATATTAAAAGTTAGCCGGAAAAATGGAAATCTCGGAAAATATAAAAGTGTTTTTCATGGAAAAATATAAATACAAAGACCATAAACAAATTTATTACATTTTGTCGCGTCAGTTACTTTGTTATAAAATATTAAATTTAATGATTAGAATGATATATTTTACTATTATATAAAATGTCTATTATTCTATATCTTATTCTTTCAATCTGAGTCTGTATTCAAATAAAAACATCAGTTGTTCTCTTATAAAATAATTGTTTACAACAATAAACTAACTTATTCAATAATTCACAAAAAAACTTAACAAAAATATTTAAAAAAACTGTTAATACAATAATTTTGTTCATAGCATAATACTGATTCGTAGAATTGTTTTATACTTCTCCAATGTACAAGCTGATGTTGCAGATAAAAAAAATGGCGTCCGACCACAGATTGGTACCTATTTTTATAACTATGTAACTCATAAAAATGCAGTTCTGTAAAGTAAATAATAAAAATATTTACATAAAAATATAGGCACAATTACTCTTACTCAGTACCTTAATATAAGCGAAAAAAACAATTACAGATAAAAAATATCATAAAAATAAACTTAAATTTTATAATGGTTATTTAAAACTGACAAGAAACACTAACTTTTGTAACAAAAAGTAATACAAACAAAAGTTATAATAAGTTTTTATATATTTATTTTAAAAATATAGTTGCCTCTATGAAGCGTTTATTGTTATATCAATATCTATATTATACTTACTGCTGTCTACATATACTGCTGTCTCGCTCGCACGTTACAGTTAAATATGATATCAATATGATTGAGACAGATCTACAATAACAAAGCAGTATTTTTCATTGTGTTTTTCTACCTACACATAAATAAAATTGGAGTGTCTGTTTGTAATGTCAAATTAACAGCTTTTAATTAAATAGTAAATACATATGAAAGTATATACGGTACTTAATAGAAAAAAATACATTTTTTTGTTTGTTTGCCTGTTTGTTCCGGCTAATCTCAGAAAAGGGTTGACCGATTTTGACGGAACTTTCACTAGCAGATAGCTGATGTTATAAGGAGTAACATAAGCTACTTTTAATTTAGAAAAAGAATTAGTATTCCCCACGTAAAATTTAAACCCATGAAATTGTGAACAAAATCCGCGTACGGACACACTGGAGCAATGAGGAGGGTAGGTCGCTAATACAAATTATAGTTAAAATGTCTAAATTAAAAAAAAAAACATTTATATAGACAAAAAAATACGTTTTTTTTTCAATACCAAACAATATTATAGTCATTATTCATGTTAAGAAAATGATGGCGTGTGAGCGAGACAGACATACCGCAGTGCAGAATAAAATGTCTACTTTTTTATTATATATTTTACAATGAGATTCTATTTACAATACTGTTTTGTCGGCATTTTCATTTAAATATAAGTTGATCGGCAAAATACGCTAAGTTATATATTTTACTTATGATACGTTCAGAAAAATATACATTTTTTTAAATATGTTTTTTTTTTTAAATTATTTTTCATTAGTTTGCTTCAAAATAAGGCAAATATTTTATTTTTATTATATATATACATCGGCCAAAAAACTTGTTTTTTTCTATTTATTGTTTGGATCACATCAATTAAGTGATAAGTAATTTATGGTCTCTTATAAGGATATTTGCGATTGTGAACAATTATGCTCGTCGATGCGAATATTATTAGTTTACTTCAAAAAATTGCAACATTGGATATCGTTTAAATCGTATTTTATTTCAACATATCATATCAAAATGTTTCAATGGTTAATGTATGCCTAACACTAGAATCGAACCCGCGATCTAGGTAAATTAGCTATATCCTAAATGACCATTAAAATTATAAAACTAGTTAGTTCTTTTTAAATTTAAACTGCTTATTTAAAAAAATAGAATTGTTACTAAAATTAAGAAATTAATTAATCTGGCAATACTGGTTGAAATTGATTAATATAATAGTTACTTTCATCAGATCTGGCAACTCTGTCTATATTTACTTTTCTCAGACCAAAATTATAGGCATAAAGTCAGCAAACGATACGCGTTGGCTTCATTTTGATTGTCTTTCCGCTCCGTCTCTTATTCTGTTGCCCTCAGCTATTTATATTAGGGCCCTTTGTGGCTTTGTCGAAATTCCGCCATTTTGTTTTTTTTTCTATACTTACGGCGTATTATTAAACTAGTATATATTTATAGAAGACACTTAAGTAAACAATAATTTACCAACAATATAATGCACTAAAGTGTCACGTTTTCGAGATATTTGAAGGTAAAAATAATCACTTTATAAAAATGATGATAATCATGAACAATTGAACTCATTACGTGCCAATTATATTTAAAAAATAGTTTTCATAGTTCTTATTACATTCTCATCATCATCAAAGCCATGTTTGCTTCAAAGTATTTCTAAAATATGACATATTAGGGCACTATATTGTTGATATTATTAGTTTATTATCTGTCCTCTATCCCTATAAACTAGTTTCAACGTGCGCCGATAGTTAAAAAAAAAATGGCGGCTTGTTATTGCTAGCTTCTATAGAAAAATGCTCGAGTTCTTTACGTTTTAGGTATTAGGTTCGTCGTCCGCCTTCAGAGCTAGCATATCTGGCAACTTGAAGTGTTGCATGTGGAAGGGCGGCTCCTCCGGACTACTGCACGTGCGCGCTAACTGGAAAGTGGATAAATATTCGATATTGTACTACTATTATAAATATGAAGGTTTGTATGTGTGTATGTTTGTTACTCTTCACGTTAAAATGGCTGCAGGGTTTTGAATGAACTTAACTGATACTTTGGTAAAGTAAAATATAATTGTAAGTAAAAATGCGTGTGTGCACGTGTGTGTGCGTGCGTGCGTGTGTGTATGTTTATGTGTGTGCGCACGTGTGTGGTCTTTGTAAATATATAAAATTTTGTCCATACATAGGCATACTCATGTACCGAATGCATAGTAAGCATTTCGCCTGCACGCGAGTTTTATATCTTTATATATATAATTCTTCTGTGAGTGTGTATGTCACTGAACTTCTCTCAAACGACTGGACCGATTTTGATGAAATTTTTTGTGTGTGTTCAAGGGGATCTGGGAATGGTTTAGATTCACAATTTGAATAATAATTTTCATCAAAAAAATTATTCAAAAAAGTTTGAAATTTTCAAATTAAAGACGTGTAGACAGGACAACGTCTGTCGGGTCCGCTAGTGTAAGTATAATAATGTATCTACTCGTATACGCGCCACAGTTCTGGCGATTTGTTTGATAAATAAATGACTTTCTTATTCTTTGGGTGTTGGACTATTATTTACATGAACAATTACTTATAGTGACTCTCTTAAGCAAGTATTTTCATAAATAACCATCAAACCCAAAACTCACATGTGTAGTTCTTCCACGACGACGTCGAGGAAGGATTCCTTTACGGGCCATGAAGAATCTGCAAAGAAATTTTATTTTTATGATTGCTAACGCCAGATTCCATATAAAATGTTCAAACCCGATTGAAATGGACACAGCTTAAACCCAGAAGTAACTCAAAGAAATAAGTAAGTCTTATGTGACTCACCGTATGGTGGAGATGGGGATGTTGAACTGCTCGGACACGGTCTGGAAGGTGGACCCGCGCGACACGCAGTCCGCCGCCTGCCGCAGCACCACCTGCGACATTGACAATATCGAACCACTATTATAAATATGAAACTTTGTATGTGTGTATGTTTGTTACTTCCACACGCTGAATCGGCCTGATGGACTAGATGTGCTTTATCAAAATTAGCCAATAGGTTCTTTCAGCATCTTTTTCTCTATAACAATTACCGACGTTTCGATTGGATTGCACCAGCCGCCAGCTATTATAAATTGTGAAGATCGAGCAAGGTACCTGCGAAAAATATCTCCGATCGTAGCAGGAGATGCCGTACACCACCAGTCTGCCCGTGACCACGGCTAGTGCAACCCAGTCGAAACGTAGGGCATAAGGTATATATCTTACTAACGAATTCACGCATTTAAGATCTTTAGTGTAATTATTATGGAACGCAAAAATTTAAAAATTTATTTTCCTCTATAGTTCATTCACGCTAGCTTAAGATATTAAAGAGAGAAAAAGAATGTGAGTGAGAGAGAGAAAGAGAGATAGAAAGACATACCTCACTCCTCCGGATCCTCTTGTTCATACTCATGCTGTAGTCCTGCCCGGCCGGCGCGGCGCCGGGGCTGCCCACGTTGTTGTTAGTGTTGCCCACCACCATGCTATTTGTTACCTGCCATTTTAACACGTTTTTATTAACACCACCAACAATATGGTAATTGTGGGTAGGCTGTCTGTAACAACTATACATTCAAGACATGTAACACCTCAGTCTCTCCCGTGACCATGGATGCTGTAAAGCATTCGAAACGTCGGGAAACAAAAATGCAAATAAATCCGCGACAAAATCCGAAAAGATAGTTTTATTTAAAATGTCAAATATTCGCGTAAATCTAAGAAAGTATCACTTGTAATTAATTTACTCAACTCTATTTACTTTTGGAAGTCGATTTCAACTTACTTCTAATTGTCGTTTCAATTTTTAAGTATGTAAAATTCTGGTATATTATTATATTAGGGTCTCCAAAGTATCCTCAAAAGAAGTCAAATCAAATCAAACACTTTATTGCGAACTTGGGTTAGTACATACATTTAGATTTTGATAATAACATATTTAATGTTCAGCCAAATTCAGCCTTACAGCATGCAATATTTCAATAATTAAAATATACCTAAAATTACAAACGTTAACATATATTACATAATAACATATTATTCAGTCATGAACGAATTAAGCATTCAGTCATGAACGAATTAACCAATTCGTCCATGTATTCAGTATTATGTTTAACTTCCTGTGTAATGTATGTTATTTCATTCTTTTTTAGCTACTTAATTACAATATCTATATACCTGTTTAAAATTATATATTACAACTTATCCGACATCTATATGTTGTCTTTAACTGAATAATATTAAGTGCACACTTTTTCAATTTTACACAGAAATTGAATTGCGCTTCTTCACAACTTCTTTGTTCATTGTTTTTCGAACGACAAAATTGAAACATACGTTGTTTCGTTAAAAAAAGTACATCATGTGACTTTTTTGTCACTTTTTCACGCTGTAACGGCTGAACGGGTTTGGATGGAATTTAGTACACAGATACACTATGAGCTGGGAAACACATAGGCTACTGTTAGCTAGTATTTCATATACCTGTGACCTCTCTCCAATGTGTATTACGTTGACGGCCGGCACGCAGCCCGGCGTCAGCGTCATGAGCCCGGGACGCACCTCCACGAACGGGCCTTGCGATGAGGACGACTGTGGGTGAAACAACAGCATAGCCTTCTCATATTGTTAACCAACTGAACCAACTTCTCCTGACCGATTCCGACCACGGCGGCCAATCTCATTGAGACTAACCAATTGCGCAGGAGATATTATAGTGCACAAGTGTACGCGCAGACACAAGTGCACTGCTCTGTTCCTGTCACTCTCATACTCCGGTGGGACGACTGCTCGACACGACCAGTGAGAGTTACGTTGCAGGACCGACGGCTTTACGTGCTCTCCGAGGCACGGGGGTAAACGCCGCCAACTTCCTAACTCCGGAGTGTTACTGAGGCTTACTATACAGAAAGACTCAATAACTAAACTTGGCCCGACGCGGGAATCGAACCCAGGACCCCCGGGTGTGCAGCCGTACATGCTAGCCACCACACCACCGAAGCAATTTAACCAACTATACTACTCATGTTGAACATTCTCGATAACCTGGCAGATAGAATGTTCCACCATTATAATTATTCTGTTTAAACCTCAAGCTCAAGTATATATATTTTTTTCGTTTTTTTTTGTAATATAACTTTGCAATAATCTGGCAAAGTTTTAAACCCGGCTAAGTGATCTGGCTTTTTTATATTTCAACTTCTTAAATACTAAATTAAAATAAAAGGTAATCAAATATCAAAATGTGTCATGAATATTTTTTGCAAAATTTTTTATTAATAATTCAATATTTAAGTCTGTTAAGTTAGCTCTACTATCCTTTCATTTCGTTTACGTTTTTATATTCAACCCTTTTTAACGTCCCACTGCTGGGGGTGGGCCTCCCTACAATACGAGGAGCATCAGGCCGTCCACCACGCTGGTCAAGTGCAGGTTGGCGAACGGTAATGATGTTAGAAATGTTACACACATGAGAATATTAGAGATGCGAGATCCGGAATTGAACCCTCTTCACTCGGTTTCCCAAGCGAGCGCATTACCACTGCGTTACCACTGCCTTATTCAAATACTAGCATTGCCCGCGGCTCCGCCCGCATTTAGACGGCCAAAAAACCAAATTCTTATGTGTTACATATTAGTACTCTTACATTGCAGTTTTTGTATTTTTTCTCAGAATTGAGACATTTTCCCGTGGTAAAAAGTATCCTATATGTTGACCCGGATAACCAGCTATCACCATACCAAATTTCATTAAAATCCCTCCAGTGGTTTTTCTGTGATGCGGTTACAGACAGACAGACAAAAATTCTAAAAATTATAGATTCGGCCTCTGTATCGATAATAAAGTCTATTTCAATAAGATTTTCCAAAAAATATTTAGTCTTCAGATTTGGCTTAGTTTCAATTATATTATATGTTTAGATGACAAAAGAAGAATTGTAGGTACAAGATTTAATGGTGGCTCAAATACTAACCTAAAAATGTCCAAGCTCACCCTCTATTTGTTTAAAGTCTAAAGGAGATTTTGAAGTCAGTGTAAGTTTGACTCACAGCAGGTACTTGATGTATGATGAAAGCCGGTGGCTCGTCTCGCGTGTCATAGTTGTGGTCGCCGGTGACACGACTCGCGCGCTCGTCCACCTCCGTGTCGCTGCACTCGTACTGACACTGCACGTTGGCTATCGCGAATTCTGTGACACATTGTTAGTATTAGTATATTTAAGTGCCTCGTTGGTCTAGAAGCTAGCGTGTACAGCTGCAGAACCTGGGTTCGAGCCCCGGCAGGTTTTTCTGTCATGAAATTCTCAATTACACCCCGGAGATGGAAAGTAGGTGGTGTTCCATCCCCGTGCCTCGGAGAGCACATAAAGCTGTCCTGCGTCAGATATCGGTCTTGTCAAATTGTCATTGGGCAGTAGAGTTTGAGTGTGAGTTAAATAGATTCATATCTTCTGTATTCTACGTGACATTGGCGAAGTAATCTGTGCTCAACTGGCACGGTTTGAAGCCATCAACAAGAGTATTGAATTGAAGGAAGAGAAGAAGAAGAAGGAGTACGAGAGAGCTATAATATCTCCTGCAGTTAGAACTGCAAAGTAGAGCAAAGAAGTAGAGCTAGTCTAAGTAAGATTTTCAGTCATGGCCGAAATAGGTCAGAAGTAAATACATTATATTTTAAAGTATTTTGTTACAAATGAGTTTAAATATTAGTTCAGATAAAAAATCCCTACATCTTGTAAAAATTAACTAACGAAACTTAGCTGAGCTTTTATTGGAGGGTCCTAACTGTAACTTGCCCTTCCATTCGAATCATAATTTTCATTAAAATCAAAAGCGACCATTTACTAAACGGGTTTTTTATAAAGCAGAGGAGACTTATATAAAATCGAGTAGAAGGAAGACTCCCTTTGATTTTATTCGATGGCTTGAAATAAAACTAAATTTAATTTATTTACTTGTACAATAAAAAAGTCATTCTACAATACGTCCAGTCTCTTAACAAAAATAACATTATTAAAGTGTTCAATAATAGATGGCGCAGTTTACAATTACGAGTATGTAGCGCCAATATTGCTCACGCTTCATTGTAAGTCTAACCTAATATTATAAAGTCGAATTTTGGAGTTTTGTTAGTTGCAACGCGCTTATCTCTGTAACTACCAGTCAAGTTTGCCAAAATCTTAAAGTATTTTATAACCTGTATAATATTGAGAAAGTTATACAGATTTTTCAACATCACCCTACGATCATGGATGACAAATAAAACCTACGACGAAAAAAAAAGGAGCGAAGCAGTCATATATATAAATAGGTAAGCTAATGCCATTTAGCCATATTGTCATTTTAATTACCCTTTAATATTATAAATATGAAAATTCGTGTTGTGTGTGTGTTGTTTAATGTTTGTCACTCAATCACGCATCAAAAGGTTGAACAGATTTAGATGAAACTTATCGCTCAGATTTACTATAGCCTGGATTAGCATATAGAGTAGTTTTTGTCTCAGTACTAGTAGTGCATTCTAAGGAATGTTAGTTTAATTTTTATGGTATTTTAACGACAGCTTAACCTAACTTATCAATAGATGGCGCTGCCAGAAAACGTCTTGCGTTTTACTTCTACATTTTGCAACTTTATTTACTACTAGTTACCATCTTACAAAATCTCATCAAAATGCCTCCAGTGGTTTTTCCGTGATGCGGTAACAGACAGACAGACAGACAAAAATTCTAAAAACTCTGTATCGATAATAATGTCTATTTCAATAAGATTTTCCAAAAAATATTTAATGTACAGATTCGACTTAGTTACAATTTTATTATACGTATAGATTAAAGTAATTTACATAGGATCCAGATTGATAAATTGTTTCCCACTGCCCGCGGGGCACAGTCTTACATAGTCTAGTTTAGCGAAGCGAAGAAAGGACGGATCACTAGTTGAACAATCAAAGTGTTACATAACTGATCGTGACCGTAAAATCAAGATGCGCGGTAGCGTGTCCAGCCAAGTTCAAGCCAAAGGAACTGGCGACACAGCACCGTGTGTACATTTTACACGTTACTATTTTTACGGGGAATACCATCTTCTAGTACTTTTTTATGGTTAAAAGATCTCAAGAAAGTAGACGATCTATTTAATGGTATGTATGTGGCACCTGATGAGCCGCCTCTTGGACCCATGTTGTAAATATATTATTATTTCTTTTTAAGAAAATAATTATTTAAAAGTGCAAATATAGGTGGGAAATTCAAAGTAGTGAAAACGCAACGGCGTTGGGCAGACTTAATATAACGTCAAAGTATTATCATAACAGAGCGATTAGCGATTTTGTCTACAAACTAAAGTCGTAATTTTTCTGTGTATGATACTGTGACCGCAATAGCGGGCGTTTAAAGTATCCGTTTCGGTATGATTTTTTTTAATACTAAATTTTAATTTTTTGGAGCTGAGTATTTTTTTACAATTATAATACGATGCTTTTGTATAAAATATTAAAAAAAAATACGCATATTCCCTATTCTGAGAGGTAGATCGATATGTGAATTGCAGTTGTGATAAATGACGGTGTAAGTAGATCGTAGATTTGTATGTCAAAGGTTGTCTTTCCTTAACGGACTTTCTCTTAAGAGTCGTTCACTATAATAATAATAAATAATAATAGTTTAATTTATATAAGGTCCCAGTAGGGGAAGGGCTCTCTCAATGCGACAGGGATCAGACCATAGTCCTCGAAGCCGGCCAAGTGCAGGTTGGCAGGTTCACCAACAAATATCATAATTTAATACAAATTTAAACGTACATATGTATATCGTCGGTGAATATATTAGATCTTCTATCTACTTACAAAATTTTTTTACAGGATGAACATAAAACTTAATTAAAAAAATCGTGGGGATATTTGATAAAACAAATAAGTAGTTTCTTGTAGTCTTTATATAATTATATAATATGTGTAGTGTATCAACCATTTGGTATCCATAATACAAGCCTCGTAGCTTACCATGGAACTAGATGGTGCTGTGTGTTAATGTACCAACATATTTATCATTTATTTATATCATAATTAAATGCAGTTAGTATTGTTGGTTTATCCAAATGATGGCATTAAAATAAAGCTTTGTGCAAAAATGCTGCTTATGAGGTATCAGAAGTTCACGAACAATACGTAGTTACGAGCATAAAAATTAAATCACGTTTTATTGCTAAAGAATAACAAAAACTTTGAATAATATATTTAAAAATAATACAACAAATATTTAATTTAAATATGTTTATTTCTTTTAAAATTACGCACAGTTATGAACTAATCGTTGCAATATTAAAAATAAATAACAAAATAAAATACTATACCTTTCGGATTGCACTACTTTGGCGTGTTAGGAACTAAAAATTAAAAAAGAAAAATAGGGCACTTGATTTCTACAAATACAGATGACAAATACCATTTTAATATTATGTGGGGTTTTTATTATAGAAAAATATTGTTATCTTATTTAAAACTCAATATGTATAAATATACCATATTATATTTGATTAAAATGTAAATTTTTTATTTATTTTGTGTTTAACATAAAAATTAAACATTAATATGCAAGTACCCTATTATTGGCACCAGAAAAACTACTAAATATGGCGCTACAAATAGTAGTTTTTAAATATTAATATTGCCATATAAAAAAAACTATAGTATAATCTTTATATTTATCTTACACGTAATTACATGGTTTATTTGTTACAATAAATAAATAAAAATTAATTATTTGACACATAGTTACTTAAACTAAACATTAGACTAGATCATTCTATACATTAACTCTATGACTAAAAAAATATCATGTTATATTAAAAGACAGTGTTATCATCTTAGCATTTTCTTTGATAAATAAATAAAATAAAAAGAAAATACATGGATAAATATCCCATAATAAATATTTATTTTCTAAAAGTAAAAATACTTTTTGGTAAAATTTAAGTAAATGATTTAAGTATCCCATTACCTAATTAATTTCTTTTTAAATAAATGTAAGCCACATGCATTTAGGAATTAATTTTGGATGTGCTTACTGCGGTGGTGACCGCGGGTTCGATTTTTCCAAAAAGAAAAAAATCGTAATATATATGTATGTATATTAGTTTTTACCTCTTTAGTTTTTACTTATTGTCTAGGATAGGATAGAATAATGTTCAGATGTTCTGATTTAGGATTTTGAACTAACTTCAGGTAATGAGGGCTATCGTTTCTGGCAACACTAGTTGGCGCCACTGGCGAGTGAAGTTTTATCGTTGTCGTTGAAAAGTGATTGTTAGTTCGGCAGGGACAATAGATTTTATATAGTAATAATAATTGTTAACGCGAAAACAGTTCTATCAGGATTTTAAATAATTAATCATAGCCAATTAAATATATTGACTTTTTCTTAACTCTTCTTTTAAACCAATAAGGTTAATTGTGCCGCACCGTGTCTACCATAATCAATCAGGAATGGCACAATCTTTACAATATACATGAATATTAGTGAAAATCCTCGATAAAAAGCTCGCAAACAGTAAACATTCAGTGTCATTTGATATTTCTAGAGACCTCACTCTACACTAGCGCTCTCTCGCGGCGAATTAAAATGCGGTAGCCCCCATTTTCATTATTATGATACTACTTGTTTCTATATCAGTTCAATTTTTAAAAGTAATGATTTAAATAAATCATTAAAAAATATGCTATATATTTTAATATAATTTTTTTTAATAATATAATTATGTCTTTTTTAATAAAATATTCTTAAATGCATGTCGATTACATTGATCTTAGACTAGGTATAGACACGTTTTCATACAACTAAGTAACTGTCACCAAAATTAGTTTAAACATGATCTTTAATTATATTTTAATGCAGATGCCAGAGTTAGTTAAATTGAGCTTTGTATTTACATAAAATACGTAATAGATGTGATACAAGTAAAAAGTATCTAAGTAATTTTGAAATGAATACTCGGCTGACTGACTGAAAAAAAGAAATTTGAAAAAAAATTGACAACATCACAACAAAACGGTGAGTTCAAAATTTATTTCAAAACATATCAGAAAATCACATTAAAACTTTGAGTAATACAGTGGAAAATGTTAAAAAAAACAATATCGAATGTGCATATTACAAGACTTGCCGAATCCTATCAGCAGTACGGAAGATGTACTGCGCCACCCCAAGTGATTGGGAAATGGGCAGAAAGATGATGACTCGACTGATTGTAAAAAAATTACTTTTCAATGAAAAGATTACACCGACCTCAAAATAAGCTTACAAGTATTTATTCCATCTTTAGAGTGGTTTCATTCTTAATAAACTAATGGAAACACCCTCATAAAATAGACTACTCATTTAAAACAAATTGATATCAGTTCACGGTAGGCGAATATATATATATATATATATATATTTGCAACCAATATTAGTAAATACAAATAAAAAAATAGCCAATACCACTAAAATTTTATGACATTTAGAATGATTTTTTTAGAGACCCACTCTAATACAAAGTTTCTGTCAAATGATCTCTAGTAGGTTGAATAATTAAAAATTAAGATATTTTTGGAAAATTAATTAATCCCGCAAAAATGTACTTTAAAACCATAGACTGAAAAACGTAAGGCTACGCTGCGATATTATTATTTATTTTTACAGGTATTTAACACAGTAATTATACTAATCGGACATATTTATAAGTTAGCAAAAATGTTATTTGGCATCTCTTTGGTCCGTTGAATAATACAGTGACAGTTACGTTTACTTACTTTACAAGGTACCATCAAACCTCTCTGACCGCCCCTCAGACATTAGGTCTAAGGGGTCCAAAATTTGCTGCCTCGTCCCTCGACGTCCCTTTGAAAACTGACTTTTGATATCGTATTTTTCCATCCAATTTCTCAAAGTCTTCCTCGGGACTCCGTATTTATTCGACGCCGCGTAAACACTGTAACCCTTCTTGACGGCGATCAGAGCATCTCTTAAATGCTGAGAAGAGTACTGTTTGTACGATTTCTCTTGAAAAACATCCGTTTCGATATTGACTATCGCGTCGGGCCTTCGCCCCACGAGCCGAGGCCGCGCATGTATGTTTAAAGGTATCCCGTGATCCACATCGATAAAATGTCTCGTCACAATTTCCGTGGACGTCCGGACACCTGTAACAAGCAAGGAAAAGAAACGGCCCTTAGATTTATGGTAGGTTTTGGCTTTTTGATTGTGGCAACACTAACTGTCAGTGTCAGGGTGACAGGGCGTTCCTTTTCCTGGCTTCCTACAGGAGGGGAGGGGTGTAAAAAGCGAGGAAAAGCCGCTCTAATTTATTATATTTTAAGAAAATGAATATATTTGAATTTATTTTGTTTTAATTAATTGAATATAAAAAAATAGTTTATAAAATCGAAATATTTAAAAGAAAAGTCAAATGTAATGTATATATTTATTCAATAAACCGTCAATATAGAACTGATACAATGATTATAATTATATATCTATATATTATAATAAAATTCGGGCGGACATTTAAATACATTACGCGTGGTCGGTCAACACTTTGGTCGTTCTATGAAACTGTAACAGATAATACTATTTGATATTATTATATACTATTTAAATAATATTTTTCCTCGAACACTCGACGCAATATTGATTTATTTTACTGTAAATAAATTTTAATTTCAATTATTTTACAAAAACTTGTATTTTTGGTTTACTTTGGTTTTTCTTTTTGGTTTGGTTAAAGTTTATTTAACATTTATTTTTTTATTCCCTAAGCTTGAAACTTTTTGGCTTAAACCATACTGAGATTGTTATTTATTTCTCAACTCATTTAAAAAACAATTTATCAATTTTGCGTCGAATCATTGATATTACATTTTATAAACACATGTACCAGTCGTAAATATTCAGAAAAAAAGTTCATCATATATCAAGTTTTTAGGAAAAAATAATTACAAATGAATTGGCAACATCAAGTTATAACGTAATTAATGATCACATCATCTATATAAATACTGAAAACATAATCAAAATCGAAATAGAAATTAATACTGCGAACAACACTGATACACTTATATAGCTTACTCTAAATTATGTATATATTTTACACTAATAGGCACTTTATGGATTAGAGTTTCGTGTGATATTTTCTACCAAATATTTTTAACTTGCAATACAGAAAAAAATCATATTACCGTAATACGATAAAAGTTAAAAATAAAACAATTAAGTACACTTTGATTTATAAAATCGCAAATGATTATCTATACTAATATTACAAAGAGGTAAAGTTTGTGAGGTTGTAGGGGGTGATCTTTGGATCTACTGAACCGATTTAGATGAAATTTGGTAAGAAGATAGTTTGAGGCCCTGAGAAGGACATAGATTACTTTTTATTCCGGGAATCATCCCTTAAGGGGAGAAAATGGGGATGAAAGTTTGTACGGGGATTCAACCTAGGGACAAACCCGAGCGAAGCGAGGGTGAGTCGCTAGTATTAAATAAATGGAAGACGAGGTAAGTGGGGTCTATCATATACATACTAATTGTGATATACAATTCACATATTGGCGACATGTTCTCCTCTTTACTTTGCATTTCAATTAAATATGTAAAACATTTGAAGTTAGATTATTTTATTCTGCAGAATTTCTTAAGACAGTAGTTTTAACTGCTCCATGATACTTGTTTCTTATACTTTTACTTTATGTCGGTACACAATAATCTGGAAACATTACACTAAGCTTTTATTACATGCCTTCTCCCCCACTTAAAACGTATAACTTCCCATTCAAATTTGGCCGCCCCTAATCAATCTTTTAGGGGATGAATATCAAAAACTCTTTCTTAGCTACCTGTATATTATGGAGGGTAGAAGTAAGGAGAACTGACTTACATGGACAAAAGTTGAAAAAATGTCGGGTGTTGAAATTGTAATTCAGAAACTCACCGATATAGCGCTAGCGTAGCAAAGAAGTGATATGAAATAATACATTCTTAGATTTACGCGAATACTTGACATTTTAAATAAAACTATCTTTTCGGATTTTTTCGCGACTTTATTTGGATTTTTGGTTCCCGACACGTTTCGAATGCTTTACAGCAATCATGGTCACGGATGGTGAGACTGAGGTGTTAGATGTCTCTTCTATTTCTCTACCCTCCATACTGTTAATGTATAAGTCATAGGAAAACGATGTCAAACACCCTTACGTTCAGGAGTTTGATCTGCATGATGATACATCAGTCAAGGCATGAAAAGTGCAAGCAAAAAATACCACACGGACCTCGGGAAGATAAAACTAACGAAAACAGTTCTAAAACAAAAAGATAATGAATATTAAGACTCGTGTAGGAACATACAATTAGTTGTAGGCCTCGGTCGTCTGTCGAATTTAAAAACATATAATATATTTATTTAAACTTAAAGTTTAACTCAATTTAAACTTTTTCGTTTTTGGCTTTATTTTATTTCAGAATCGCGAGTGAGAGTAATATACTCATATGTTTTAAATTCGACATCTCATGGCCGTCACAGAAACTACCATAAATGAACCTCGATGCGTTCAACTAAAAAATTAAGTACAATGTTAGCTGACAAATAAATTACTCTTATATCAATTAAGCATAAATATACGTGATAGCAGTTTTTTATACAAAAAATGTGACATACAAGTTTTAACTTTTTTATTTTTAATCTGTTGTAGAAGTGACATATTTGTCGATGACAGATCATAATATATTTAAATTGAGAATATTTTTTAATCTATTATCAATTTTTGCAATAATAATAATATTCATATATAATAAAACTGCGATCACTATAAAAATGTAACTTACACGAATATATTACGCTAAAATTTCATATAAAGTCTTTTATTTAGCGGACGATGTCCTTCAAGCACACGAATTTTCAAAAGGCCAATTTCGCATTAATTATTACTACCATTAACTAATATTTCTACAATTATTTTAAAATAACAATAAATAAAACAAAATATGTTCCAAGTGTGGTTTCTACCAAAATGGTAGTTTTTTAGACCTGGCAATACTGGCCAGAATAATATTAATTATTCTATAAAATATTAGAAAACAACAATCAAATTTCAGTAAATGATGAAATATTGACTTTGGGGTAATATATAAATATATTAATATATTTTTAATAAATAAATGAGTCCATATAAAAAAAATATTATGTTTATAAATAATCACTTGGAACATTCTAATTAAAAAGAAACAAATCTTTGGAAATTATATTGCATGAAATTTAAGTAAAATAAAATATATTTTTTAAATAATTGTTTTTTTCTTTGCATATTCTTTGGCAGTAAAGATATTTTTCAGATAAATTAAATATTTTTATATATCCTATTATATTGCATTTTTTTTCTTTTTCAAATCAATCGTGAAAGAAAAAGATTTCCCGAATTACGTTTTCAAATTTTTAAGTACAATTATTTTCATATTATATACATCTTTATAAAGACTGGCTTCAACAGTGGGACACTTCTGTCTAATACTTCTGTGTATAGAAAAAATACTATTTAGCAAATTTAAAAAATCAAAATGAATGAAAAACATTCCAAAAACGAATTTTTCATTCGTGTAGAGACATATTGAGGGCGGTGCTGCCATCAATCTCCACTTTTTCATCTTCGCTAGATATTTGGTTGCAAGTCAAAAAATGCTTCCCAAAATCAATGTCTGGACCAAAATTGGTGGGTTTTTCTGGATTCTGATCGCGTTGTTTTTTGCTATTTTCCACAAATTGTTTTAGTTGTTGCGGCATCGGAAAGGACGACTTGATGTGGCAACGCTTCATCCAGTTCCTCAATGATTTCCTTGGCACTTTGTGTGTCTGTGCCGCTCTGTAAATAAATATAACTTTAATTGAATAAATTGCTTTTACATACAAATTATAAAAACAAACAAAAGTGTTATCATAATTTTCCATAATAAATAAATTTCGAAAAAAAATATGATAAGGTTTTTTTGAAGAATTAACGAGCTTAAACCAGATATTATTAAAGTGGAATAAATAAACGAATAAAAAGGGGATATATATATACATTGTCTTATCGACAAAGAATTTTGAAAATCAATTTAAACAAAAATCCTACAACTTTTTGAAAGGGGTCAAAAATAAAGAACCCTTAGGTCACCTAGGGGAATATATATTAGAAAAGTAGAAATATAGTAGTATAAGCTAACAACAAATAGCGTCTCACCTATATATACTGCCCCCCTTTTTGACATCCATCAGAGCGGCCCACATCGCCTCATTAGAGTAACGCCTATTCGGATTAAACTTTCCCATCATGATTCTTTCTAGATCTTTCCGCGACAATCCCGAAGAACTAACTTCTTTTCCCTCCAAAAATTGTTCCAAATCAGCCTTTAAAACACTCTCCCCGATATCCACGTTTTTATCCTTGAAAATAGGGGGCCTCCCCCTTTTTTTTATAACTTTATCCCCTTTTGGTATTAATTCGATTTCCGATTTTTGGTTATCGATTTTTTTGATTGTGGTCTTCTTTGTCGATTTTAACAAAGACACTTCTAATTCGCCATTTTGTTCTAACCACGATTTATAATAATCGTTTTCGGTTTTCTGAAACTCGTCCATATTTGTTAGGCCGTATTTGGAAAATTCGTTTTGAATTTCGGATGCGTTCATTTTGGACAATCGATTGACATAATCGGAATTCGCTAGGTTTTGTAGTTTGTTGTGGAAGAACAGTTCGCTCTCCGGTTTTACTCGTATATAAGGGTTGCGTCCTAAAAAAATAGAAATATACAAAATATGAAAAAAAAAATCATTTGTGAACCATGAATGCTCGAAAAAACACAGTCGACAAATGACATGTCTGTAAGATACACCTTATTGAAACAAAAAAATATGCAAAAAAAAACTAATTTAAACATTCATGGTTCAATAACTACTATAATGTAATTTTTAATAATTTCCAAAAAAATTATGTAAACTCGGCCTACCTTACAGACATTCATTATATTATTTTTTCACAATGCCCATTCACAATATGATCTTCGTTTCACAATCGAAATACGCGATAATAATTGAAAAAAAAACTAAAAATATATTTTTTTTAATTAATAAAACATGTTTAAGCAAGTGACAAGCGTAGGTCACATTGCAAATAAACATTGATTTCGAAAATAAAAAGAAATCGATATCAATAGAATCTATATAGGAAATCGATAAAACATAAACTCACCTGAAGTTTGCCCTAAGCTGCTGCCAGGTTTGCTTGATTCCTCATCCTGAAATATTACCATATGCATTATTTAAAATAAAAATTAACATAAATTACTTAAATCTTAAAAAAAGTGTCTTCGACTTTAAATAATTAATATTTATTTTTCTAAAAATCAAGAATAATCTAACAAAAACAAATAGAAATCCGATTGTATTATTTGTAACTTAGGTAACCCCTAGTAAAATACATTCCTTATTTTTACTTTTATCCTTATCTTCTCTTACATATACATACATAATATGTACTTATTATTCTGCGAAATTGCCAGCGATCTCTTAAATTAATTTACCACATTATTTTGTACACCACATTTTTTAACAACACATCATATTTAATTGACTACAAAAAAATATCGTTTTTGATTGCAATTTAAAACAACTTTAAAAGTAATAACTATTCCACCTTTTGAATTTTAACATGAAACTAAAACAAAGAAAAAAAAAAACAGAAAACACCCTAACCAAGTTCCTTCTTCTTTTGAAATGGGTAAAAAAAATTAAATATTTATATTACCTCATTATACTCCAAGTGCTCATTTTCCAACTCCCCGTAATAGAGTCCGTCCTCTTCCACTGTCTCCTCCTTCACCTCGGGCTTCTCCCTCTCTTCTGATTTCCTCTTCTTCGGCCCGTTTGTTGTGTTTGTGTTTTGTTGTTTCTGTTGTTGTTGTTGTTGTGTTTGTTGTTGCTGTTGTTGTGCTGTCGAATATAGTGTATTATTTATTATCTTTATTCGTAATTAAAACAATGTTTATTATTGAAATAAATGTTTTACACAATAAAATGAATTGTATAATATAATGTATTTAAAATCCTTAATAATATTACATATCAGGATGTTTCTTGAATTGTTCTTCGTGCAATGAAACAACAGACAGACGCGAGTTTTGGATAACATAGCTTTTAACACGAATCTTGTAAATCTAGGACCTAATTTTTTACCTACTTATACACATCGTATTAGATTGAAACCTTGTATGTGGATTTCGAATGATAGCATCGGCTGATGGAGGCAAGTTAGTGGAACTCATCCTTGGCCATTAATTAAACCGTTTTCTAAAATCAACTAATAATCTAAGGGTTTTCAAAAAAATACCCATTGTTATAACGTAAAATGGAAAGCAAAAATCTTGTACAGTTAAAATAATTATGTGTCAAGTTTCAAATCAAACGATAAGGAACTCGGAGGTTTGCGGTTTTGTGCAAAAGGGTTTATTAGTAGTACTGGGAAAAAATCGCCAATTTAAGTTCAATTAATATACACTCTTTAAACAAATTAATTAGCTAATAAAAATACTTGTCAACCCTAAACCCGTCTCCCGAGAGTGATACAAAAGTATGTACAACAGTCGAGAGCGCTTTCCCGCACCTCACCTCTCAGGTCCCGCACTATTGCCCTGTCTAAACACCTTTGTCAGGCGACGTATAGTCCGGTCAAAATTGACATTTCAAACAACAAAAACTCCGACTGAGCTGAATTTTGGTAGAGACCTCGGGTATACCAGTAGAAATAAAGTGCCAAAATTCGCCATTGATCCCATGTGTGCTAAAAAAGTTATTCAAGGTCAAAGGTCAGAATACTAAATAATGTTTTTTTTTTCGTGGTCTGATTGCCGCGTTGGAAAGCGCTATTGATAAACTATTACGCGCTATTGATAATAAGATATCGATACGAACGCAAGTAATAGCGTTTTCAAAATTAACAAGCGCAGAATATATAAGCGCAGTGCGAACAAGTTCATGGAACGCGCGTTTTTGGCGCGTTTATAAAACGATGTATTCAACGACTGTTAGTCTAGGCAACTAAAATATTAAAAACGAAATATTCACCAAAATGTGTCAAATAAGTAATAACAATACATACCATTCCCCGCGTCTTTCTGCACGTTGGCGAGTAAGGCGTCGCTCGCTAGCGTGAAGTCGCGTGAGTCCGTGCGTCCCTCTCCCGTCGTGCTTGTTTCTCCCGAACATAAACCTGAAAATATAATGAAAATAGTAAATCAAAATATTTATTATTTATTATATTTATAGCTCTATTTAAAGTCCCAGTGCTGGGGATGGGCCTCCCTTCAATAATCGGGGGATCAGACAATAGTCCACCACGCTGGCCAAGTGCGGTCGGACTGAGCATGTCTTTCTGAAACTTCTAGGTTCTCTCAGACATGCAGGTTTCTTCACGAAGGTTTCTTTCACCTTCACTTCACAAATGGTAATAATGTTATAAATTATTCTAACTTTGAACCCGCTTCACTCAGTTTCCCATTCACACCTAAAATACATGCATATATCAGATTGTCGTAAAACACAGGTACGCTGTAAAATCGAACCGAAAAGTTAGTTTTTGATAACAGATCATTAAAAAGTATTTTTATTTTTTCTATAATACAGATATTATAATAGATAAAAGTTAGAAAATGACACTGTGACATAGTAGAAAGAGCTATCTAACAGCATGTTTTATCTGTGGTATTATCGCGAGATCTGGAGTAAAGATAACATTGCTTTTGTTTGATTGATTTAATTAAAAGTACGTACTAGCATATTTATATTAATAGATTTACAGCGGAAATAAAAAAGAACATTTTATTACGACACTTAACTCATAAAAAAAATATTATTATTATTTTTTCTCCCTTTTTTCTCTCATCTTCTTTCTCTCTCTCTATTAAATTATACTTTATAAAATTTTGGTGAAGTATTCAAATGGACTAGGCTCTGAACTAGAACAAAATATTGTTCTTTAGCGACGCACCCAAGCTTCGCTAGAGTTCATCCCTAGGTACGTTCTAGCGGTTATTATGGATATCTCACGCTAACCATTACTTATGTGCTAGAATACTAGACTATAATCTATCTGTCTGCTAAATTTTATCGAGAAGCGTTCAGCCATTCTGGTGGGATTGAGTAACAAACATCCATCCCAACATCCAAACATCTCAACTTCCACATTTATAATAAATAAGATTATGGGATTACTGTAATACATATGTATATCGGGACATCAAGTATCAACTTAATATCACAACAACCATCCCGTGGAATAAGTAAATATATGACAATAATTAAATATTTATATTGTTTAGTCCTGAACAAATGAATAGCTGTTCAAAAACATTGAAAGAACAAAACGCTTTTAATGCAGGCAAAGCTGCGGGCAGAAATCAGTGGTAAACAAATAGGCCATAGTTACCTCTTATTTGAAGGGCTTCAGCAGATTTCAGTAGACTGGGCAGCTCTTCCTGAGTCACGTTCACTTCGCCCTTGTACATAAAGTCCACTAACGCTTGCATTTCACTGAACCTGTGGTGTATTAACATTTGTTGCAGAGAGACGGACAGATATATGTAAGAAAATATTTAAAATCACAAAATAAGTTCACACTTAACAGCCATCCATGAATATGCGGTTAACCATGCTAGATATACATACATACGAGTACATACATATATCGCTGTATTAATGATTGAGATCTCGACAGCGACAAAACTCAATTTTTTTTGACTCGTATCACTCAATAATAACTGAATATGGCAGAAAAAAATCCGGGACTCGAACCCACGACCGCCAGCCACTAGACCATCAAAGCAGTAGAAACTAAAAAGAAAAACAATAATAAAACTCACCGCATATCCCTCATCAACACAATCGGGTGGTCGCAAGGGTTTTGTAGCAGAAGTCGCTCCAAGTAAGCGGAACATGCGGACAACACTAGTTTGTGACAGCGGAGTTGCTTTGCCTCGCACGCCAGCGTCACGTCCGCGAACTGCTCCGTGAGGAGGAGGCGGGGGAACACCGCCTTGAGGTGCAAGATGTGCAAGGATTACAACAATGTAGATACAAGACTTACAACAACTTAGGTACAAGAATAACAACAATCATAAAATAAAGTCAAATAAATCAAAATATGCTTTATTCAAGCAAGACTCTTGAATTGTTTTTTTTTTTTAATATTTCTTTTACAATTTTAATTAGTATTAGTGGCAGCAGTATTTAAGTCTATGAGGAAGCTACCGTCATATTTGAATATCTCCATCAGGAGGACCGCCGCCTTGCCAGTGCAAGAGCTAGATTGCAAGAAACTAAACGCAAGAATGACATCAAATATAGATATTAATTCACTTAATTTTTATTTTGTGTTTGTTAAAATTTTAAAAGTTAGATTTTTTATTTAAACTTTTAAAATCCGACATCGACCATTTTAATTTAGTGTGTCCTGTTGGATATGTCTATTAAAATTTTGTATAATAATCGTAATAATATATGTTAAATCTTGTCACTGAAATAATATTCTTATGTAATATTGTTGCTTTCATTGGAAATCGGTATAAATCTACACTGAACCGATTTTAATAATTCTTTCACCATTGAAAATACATGTTACCCAAAAGTATCGTAGGCATATTTCATGATGATACGTTTGGCTCACTTTGTAGTGACTTTAAATGCTGTACCAGCGGTCGCGGGTTCTAGTGCCGCTGGGGGCATTCATTTGTGTGATGAGCACGAATGTTTGTACTCCAGTCATGGGTGTTTATATTTATAATATGATGTATTTAAAGTTATATACATAATATGTGTAGTGTATCAACTATCTGGTATCCATAACACAAGCCTCGTAGCTTACCATGGAACTAAATGGTGTTGTGTGTTAATGTACCAACATATTTATTTATTTCCGTAATAATAAGTATTAAAATAATAAGTTAAGTTTTAACCTAACTAGTCCCCATTCGGTGCACTAGAACTAACTATGCTTACAAAGTACTCTGTGTAATGTATGTCATGTTATGTATGTATGTTGCTCCGTCATACTAAAACGGCTGGGCGGATTTGAATGAAATTTAGCAAATAGATAGACTATGTATTCATCCCTTTTTAACGTCCCACAGCTGGGCGTGGGCCTCCCTTCAGGACAAGGGGAATCAGGCCATAGTCCACCACGGGGGCTAAGTGCGGGCGGACTGCACATGTCTTTCGTAAACTTGCTAGGTTCTCTCAGACATACAGGTGTATTCACGATGTTTTCCTTCGCCGTAAGGCAAGTGGTAATCATGTTAGAAATGATTCGCACATGAAAATATCAGAGGTGCGAGACCCGGGATTTGAATCCGCTTTACTCGGTTTCCCAAGCGAGCACGTTACCACTGGGCTACCACTGCCTTTACTATGACATGATAGACTATGACCTGGAGTAAAACTAAGCTACTCTAAGACGCCTAGGGACGCACCCGAGCGAAGCAAAAGTAAATCTCTTGTAACTAATAACATATTTACCTGTAAATTAGTGTGGTAGGAATTCCACCGAACACAGAACTGCTGCGGGGGAAGCGCCATGTTGCCATCAAACAATATAATATATAATCTATATTTTAATATACATCACTAAGTCTTTGGCCGATATTATTCAGTCCGTTTGTAAATTGCACGCGTACAGTCCACCAATAAGGTTGTATCACAGATATTTGCTATTAAGTACGAAATACACTAAACACGTAGAAACTTTAAGACTAGATTGTATTTTTGAATACTGGAACTTGAAAGAATGTTGTTTTAGTTTGGAAACCTGAAATTAAAAAAAAACAGTATTATATAGTAAGTATGTATTAGTTAAAATATTTAAAATAATTTTTATTTAAACTTTTAAATTAATTAAATGGTTAAATAAAACGTTAATTTATTTTATCGTATTTAGCTTTTTAGATGATTTTTTGACGCTGATATATTTTTTTCAAATACAAATAAAATACATTATTAACACCTTTCGTCATCGAGTGCACCAGTTGTCGTTTTGATATATCTTGGAACTTGGAAGCCGCGCTGCCAGTTGGCGGGTAAATTACCCGAAAAGCGGGTAGTTTTAGGCGATTTTCGATGGCGGGTAATTTTGACAGATATTTGCATAGAGCGGGGTCAAAGCAGATATTTTAGTTTAGATGATTAATATGATATTTTAAGTTTTTTTATGTTTGATTTAATAATTTAAAGCTGTTTAATTGTTAACTGATTACAATGACTTCTTTTTCTAACATTAGTAGGTATTTTCTTTTATTCTATATGAAACATAAATAAATTGCTTAAAAAAAACGATTTCCGGGTATTCTGCTCATGGTGGGCGACGCTTTTCTTGTAAGTATTTTTATTTTCTTGTAAGTAGTCTTCTATATTATTCCCATTTATCAACAAATTACACAACTCTCGCTTGCTACAAACAAATTCACCCATTTTTCAAGTCAGTTAACTTTTGGGAATATTTGAAAATAGGTATTAACTGCTTTTTAGGGCAACTGACTGTCTGACCAACAACTGTGAATTTTTCAGGGCTCGCCTTCCTTTTATAGGCCAATGAAATAGTGCTATGTGCAAAAAGATAAGAAAATAATAATTTGCACTCTTCCCATAACCAACCTGTTTTTAATTCGACCTAATAGATAAGTGACCATATTTTATCAAGTAAGGTGGTCTAAACTGTATCAAAACCAGAAAAAAACTATTAATAATACTCATCACTGTAATGAACTTTTTATTGATTAATTGATTAATTTAAAATTTATTTATTCATTCCAAATCAAATCAAAATTTCAAATTTTATGGTTGAATTGTATGGTTGTGCGCGCGCGCGCGCGCGTGTGTGTGTGTGTGTGTGTGTGTGTGTGTGTGTGTGTGTGTGTGTGTGTGTGTGTGTGTGTGTGTGTGTGTGTGTGTGTGTGTGTGTGTGTGTGTGTGTGTGTGTGTATTTAATGATATGTTCTAACAGTTTTTCCGTATCATTGTAACTAAGGGTTTTTATCCAATCTATTAATGTCTTTTTGCATTTATGGTAATTGTAGGGGTAAACATAGATGATACTGTTAATTTTATTATATAATTGTGCACATCTTTTATCGAATTGCATTGACGCAAATGTTGTTCTTGTTTGTGGGATTTTAATTATGTTTTCTTTCCTTCTTTTTAATGTTAAAGACGCATCATAGGAAATTTGACCTTAATAGATAACAAATGATTTTATGAGAAATAAAAAGAAATTGAAAAAATAATGATTTTTACCTCGCGATATGTTTTGACACCGTGACAAAAAAAGTGCGAATATGTGCAATTTTTTTTTCTCCTTGCGTTGGCTAATGTATAAAGATCTTAATACAACAAATGATGATGATGATGATGATGTTCTCCTAGCCGATTCCGGCCACGGCGGCCAATCTCAATGAGATTAGCCAACTGCGCAGGAGATATTATAGTGCACAAGTGTACGCGCAGACACAACGTGCACTCTCTATTCCTATCACTCTCATACTCCGGTGGGACGACCACTCGACACGACCGGTGAGAGTTAAGGCGCAGGACCGACGGCTTTACGTGCTCTCCGAGGCACGGGGGTGAAACACCGCCAACTTCCCAACTCCGGGCTGTTACTGAGACTTACTATACAGGAAGACTCAATAACTAAACTTGGCCCGACCCGAGACTCGAACCCAGGACCTCCGGGTGTGCAGCCGTACATGCTAGCCACTACACCACCGAGGCAGTTGATATACAAGTACAACAAATATCTCGATAGCGGCAAGCAGCGGTAATGGGTAAACGTCTCGTTAAAAAAAAGTTAACCCTAAAAACATACCATATTAAACTATATTGGTTAATTTTATTTTATCAAACTAATATATATAATACTAATTACAAAACGTTAAGAGGAGATTATAAGCATTTAAAAAATGTATAATACTTATACATTTATATCAAAAGCTTTCGAGTAATGTGGCGTTGAATTGTAGTAACGCATCGCGTCAAAATTACGTTATTGAACATGAGTTAGCTTTGAAGCCTATTTATATACATTATAACAAAAAAAAATAGGATAAAGAAAGCTTATTTATTAGACTATATATTAATTTATTATTTTTATTCCATAACAACGACTTTCTCGTGAAACGGTTTGAAGACGGCTTTGTATGGGGCTTTCCCATAGTGCGCCGGCGGGATAAACCGGTATTTTGAAGTTTATTGGTCGGGTAAACTGACGACAATTATTTGGTAGCCCTGCTTGGAAGTACAAAAATTAAAATATTCTTTAAGGATACGATACCTTTAAATATATCTAATACATATAATAAAATTCCAACTGAGTCGAATATTTAGAATAGATTTTTTTTACATATTATTGAAATAGTCAATAGGTATACGTATATAGTATTATATTATCGATACAGAGGCTGAATCCATAGTTTTTAGATCTTTTTGTCTGTCTGTCTGTCTGTGACCGCATCACGGAAAAACCACTAGAAGGATTTTGATGATACGATGATAGCTGGTTATCCGGGTCAACATACAGGATACTTTTTACTGCGAGAAAATCTATTCTAAACCTTAAAGCGTAAGTAGGGACGAACCCGAGCGGAGCGAGGGTGAGTTCCTAGTATACTTATATTATTATGATGTGCAACGGGATATTTACCATATTTTTAGTTACTTTTGAGAGTCCCCGATATTTCAGCAATGTATCAAGCGCCATGGTCACGGGTGTACTGAAGACTTACAAAAAGGATGAATATCGAAAACTGTCAAATATCCCGTTTTACATCATAATATTGTCTGTAGAAACCATGAAATTTTAAAGGTGTTAGCGAAATAAAACAAAATCTGCATTGGATATTGACGATGCATATTCAAATTCAATTTTTTTTATTTTATTTTAAATATTATTAATGAATTAATATTATTGATTAAGATTAAAATATCGTGTGAACTCACCCTAAGAATAAACCTACAAACCTACGCGGAAAAAGAAGAGTCCGACTGAGTGTCAGAGCTAAAATGAGTTTTGTAGCGTAATCATTTTTTGCCTTTTATGTTAAATATAAAATTAATCTCTATAAAAAAAAGTACAACCGAATTGAGAAATCCTTTTTTGGCAGTCGATTGAAAACTAGTAGGTAATAAATAGAGGTAAAGCTGGAATCTGCAAGATAGTCAACTCTTTACTAATACCGCGGAGATATCGTGTTTAGGCTCATTGAAATGGCTTCAATGAATATACATAGGTTATTGTGTTGGGGAGTTTTTAATTTTTTTATTTTTTTATTTAATTTTTAGATATTTATTCTTCTTTTATATTGTAGAATCTTGTGTAGGTAAGTCTCAAGGGTAGCGATAGCAGGTAGTTTATACGTACAGAAGCTGTCGATCGGATGGAAAGGATCCATATTCGTGTAAGGACTCAAGATTTGCAATGCATAAGACGTTTAGGACCCCGAAGAGTGCTATGGCGAAGTTTATAATAATTTATTACATACAAAACACAAAAGATATTTTATTAGATTGATATCTCTTACTTAAATAGCTACTTTCTTAGATTTAAGCGTATATTTGACATTTTAATCCCTCCAGGACCGCGGACACGCCGGAGTTACAGTTAACAATAGATTTCTTAGAAATTTAATTATTTTTTAGGTGTTAAAATGAAACTATATTTTCAGATTTAATTTTATAATTTTGTTCCTGATGTTTTAAATTCTCTACAGCAAAAACACTCACGGAAAACACTAAGGGAAACCTGTCAAAAGTCAATGTACAGTTGTTACAAACAGTATCTACCCACAAAGTTTATATAAAAATTCGGAAGAAATATACGTAGACAAGTGGCACCGAAGTACCTCACAATACATATCTGTGATTTTTTTTTCAATATGAAAAATAGTTTAAATTTAAAAAGCTCCAAAATTTATTTAAGGTTTAGTCTCGTAATGAAATAAACAAAATTCAAAACTTTAAACGTATGTACCATAACTTTTCTAAATGTCAAAAGTGACACGAGTGAAAATTGCCATTTGTAAACAAACAAATATCTGTGCTCAACTGGCACGTTTTGAAGCCATTAGCAAGAGAATTGAATTGAATTGAAAATAAATATAATCGATTATTTTTAAATCGATTAATAATAAAAAATATATTTTAGTCTGTTGAATTAAATTCAACCTATTATTTTACTTCTTAAATAAATAAGTACATATTAATAATTCTTCAATTCTATAAAAAAATATTGAGCATGTAAATATATTCACATTTAAAAACCAAAGACTGAAAATAAATTGGGTATGGTAATTAAATAACTTTTCACGTAGGTGTGAGTGAGGCAGCGATAGGGATAAAGGGAGAGAGCGATGCATCGGAAAATTCCCCCACGCTAAAAGTTACAAATAAAAAGGCGCTTGAACATAAAAAATCAATATGAGTCGTCGTAAAACGAGGGATAGTCTGACCCCAACAGGTCCGATGTACCACTTCACTCCTCTTCGTATATTAGATACATTTGATGCGTCGTGAATCGTATTTTCATTAAA